ATGTGCATGTGACTTGATTACTGTATGGAGTGTGAGAAACTGGGAGTTGTTGTTTGAGGTATTCACTGGGCTTTAAAACTCATCCTATTATTTTTCCTCACAGGTTAGCAGGCTAGCTGAGTAAGGAAAAGAATAAAATGAATTGATTGCGAATAGAAGTATTTGGCTTTTCTTTAGTCTAGAGCTTATTTGAATTTCGGAATTTGTATTAAAATTTGGAAACATCTTTGTTGTAAATAACGCTTCTGCTATGAAAATTCAGGAGTTTGAACATTTAATAGACTAATTAGTGCTGTTCCACAAAGCCTTGGGCGAGAGATCGTCCGGCGGGCGGCTCAATTTGTCATCAAGCACGATATTTTGTCGAGCTGGACACATGGGTCGTCACATATATGACTCGCTTGTTGAGATTTAAGGCTTGAATATGATTAACAAACGACTTGCAACACATATTGTGCCCTGGAGTGGACATATTACTATTACATATAGCTTAATTGTAAAAATATTATTCTGCTGCCTAAATTGAAAGTATCTCTCATATTATTTTAATTAAACATTCTGACGTTTGATATCATAGCAAACCATAGTATCGTTCTTTTTAGGATTTCCAATTGTACTTGTATAACTGGTGACATAACTTTGTATTTTCGAGGTCGATTTTCACATCGACTATGATATATCAACCATAAACCTTTTAATTGGATTGAGGCCATTCATTACAATATTGCAAACATATCTTACACTTGTTTAAAAAACAGGAATAATGTTATACGAAACAAAAAAGGATAGCATATTCTTAAAGTTACAAAAATTCCGCGCCAGTTCGTCATTATGATTACTGTAATACTACATGACAAATTAAATGAAACGATACATAAAGAAATCAACATATATTACCAAAAGAAAATGATACATTATGAACGCATAATAAAATACAGACATTACATAAAAAACACGAAACTAAAACATGGCGGGACACTAATGACAAAAGATTAGTCTAATGCATATACGTTGTCCCTATGTTACACAATTAATAATAGCAAAATCATCACAAAAGATTAGCCTGACATTGCAGGAATAACTTAAAGGCGAACTAAACTACGCTAGAAACATCCAGCAGCTAGATCGTCCAGTGGTAGTATGATTCCCGGCTTCACGTACAAAGAAAAGTTGCCGTTGAGAGGATTATAAATGTAATACATATACCGATCTCGCCCAGAAAAAATGAACTCTCCGGCGTTTGATGACTTTGGACAAAGAAAAACAGGACATTTCCAATGGCGTGAAAAAGGACCACGCAACGGTACAGGTAATGTCGGACCGGTAAAATGCAGCATCACACTATGTAGCTTACGCCAACGATACTTCAAGTTTGCTTCACCATCATTTGTCCATTCCCACACTTGAAACAATCCAGTCAAACTTATAAATTCTTCATCAACAACACACAATTTTCCCTGCAAATTCAATAGCTTAGTGCTATTATGAAAACCATAAGGATACATTTTCCAATGTTCATGGTTCGGATAGTGGATAATGCTGAATGTTTGCGATGAACAGCTGAAACCTATAAGGAGTTCCCTTCTGGTAATTTGATCAATTGGCCAATGGATGATTTTGTTGATGCCCCAATACACCGTGTCACCCACAAAAAGGCCTTCAGACAAAACAACACGCGGACATAAGGAATTGATCAGTTGCCAGGACTCAAAAACCACCCCATTGAGTGATTGATCTGGCATCCAAGACAAATACTTGGCATGCATTCTTCCATTTGGCAATTGCCGTAAAAAAATAATGCAGTATATCGCCATAGATTGAAATCAAAAGTCACATTCCAATAATGCTTCACGAATGATGGACGAAAGGGTCTAGCAATCATGCGTTGTTGTCCGATCTGAGGATTCAAAATGATGAGTTCAGAATGCAACTTCATGCACACCAAATCGCAGGTAATTGGAAGCACCTCCTGCACAAACCAGGGGTGTACAGGAAGGAGATTCGACTTGCAACAGATATCAACAGTATCATCAACTGTGTTGACACCGACAAGCTTCATTCTCTGGGGAAAATGAGAGGTGTATAAATTTTGCTGACTTATGAACAGCAAGGACGAAGGACCATTTGAAACTTTCGACTTGCAAAAACGATCACAAAAACCAATGTCTTACCATATAGCTTTCCAAGTCCTCCGAAAGCAACGTGCTCTTCCAACAGTTGCAAGATCTACCCTCATCATAATGTCTTACATGAGGTCATTTGGGAGCTTAGTCAGGATATCAGCACAATCATGCTCATGAGCTGGATTTGCCATGGGAAAAGTTACAACAGTTTGAAAAAGAGGGTGGATGATTACTTTGAATGGCGGGGAGATCGTAGATGTTGGTTTGGCTGGAAGATAAAGAAGATAATATAAGGTAGTTGAAGGTTAGAAAACTATTAAAGAAAAACATATAGATTGTATATTGGAGTTGTTGTAAATGACACAAAATGGAGTGCCAATTTATAGCACAATTGAGAGAGTAATTATCTAAGAGCATGTCCAAACTCAGTGGAGATCATTGATGGCACATTACCTGATTTGGAATCATCTGCATGAAAATATTTTGGCAGCAACTAAGAATTTTTTTAATGTCTCGCCCTTGGGTACTGTTCTCGCATTTGAGTTGTGTATCAGCCATAGTATCTAACTGATTAACAGGCAAATAGCTCATAGGCTATCATGGCCATTATAGAACCCAACTACTATGTATAAAAGGAGGGATAAAATAATGTATATAACGTACTCCAAGTCATGCAATTGCAACAACATGCAAATTGATGACTTCAATGCGATGGAACCAAGGATGTTTTCATCAGGGTGCTAACAAAAATAATCAATCAACTTCACATCCCAATTATATAATGGATTATGTGATGTGCAATATTAAGAGTTCAAAATTGAACTAAATTATAACTGCTGACAGCTTGAAAAACATAAGAAAATGTGAACCCAAATGTGTTCATATAATATAGGCTTCCACTAAAAAATCTCTTTATGTATTTAACTATATTGGTAAGAGTAGTGTTTAGGATATTGAAGCTTTTTTTTTTTGTTCCATATTTGACACCATTAATTCCATATAGTAAACAGAAATTGGAATATTCACAACTATGATCACGTCCGCCATTATAAATGCTGCACCAAAAGTGGTCACTACGTCCAAATTCGACGAATGATAAGACAAGTAATTCATTTTTGTCATTTGCACAACATCCACCGTCTGATTTTCATAATGCATAAATCTTATTCTTGCATTCCCACATGTAATCAATTGTGCAGTCGAACAATCTAAAAACGAATGATGCGTTGCACGATAACCACCAAGACTTAGATACGTTCCCGATGTGCATGTATGATTTTCATGCATCGGCGCTTTAAAAAAAATTTATATATTGGTTCTTGATTGCGTGCAGGATGCATTAGGTTCATTTGGTCATTGAGATTTTGTCCAATAATTTTGCAACGAAATTGTGTCATGTTGTTGGGGTGAAATTGTCATTTCGGAGAATTCATGGACTATTTGGAATTTAAGGGTTGACTGTTGACCCAGACAGAATTAGTGAAATAATGATTAGCCATTAATATATTTTTATATCGGTTCTATTTATAGTTTTAGCAGATTTTGGTAATAAATAAGCAATTCTTGTGTAATGATGAGTACACATGAAATTCAAAAAAGTCTTGTCTCTTCATTTCCATATTCTTCTTCATCCTATCTCTTTTCTTCTTAACTGCTTTCCAGTTCTTTCTTTCCCCCTTTGAATTCGACTCCGATGCCGGTTCTTGCCATTTTATCTACGGGACTGCGACCCATAGCTTTTCTAATTTTCTTCAAAGGCCAACCGTGACAAATTGTTCGGCCGTATCCCTTTTAAACTGAAATTGAAACTTAAGATACACGTACGAGCCTTTTCATAGCAATAGTTTGTTTGCAACGGGGTTTATATTTGGGCCAACGACTTTGGAAAGACTTAGTTTCAGGCAACATTGTTTTGTTAACCTTGTTTCCAAATGAAAGAAACAAATTCCAGCCTTTTCGACGAATTAATTTGTTATGCAATAAACCTGTTTTTTTCTTTTTTTTTGGTAAAGTGCAATTGAAAGTAGAATATACAATATTATACCCACTTTTAACATTCTACTTCTTGTAATATGCAACATTATGTACAAAATAACAAATATGCAATATTATATAAAGTCCTACCAAAAATAGTGCTGAATTCATAATTTTTCATAGTTGATTTCCACATCAGAAACAAAATTTGTGGAAATCAACTTACAGAAAACATCCAAATTACAATAAAGATATTCAAACTGTAAATCTATTATAATATATTAATAGAGAAACCAGTGAGAGAATTTCAAGATCATTCCTAAAGCGACAAGTAGGACAAAATCCTACGTGGCATTCTCACAAAAAATGAGTAACATATATCAAAGAATTTTATGCAAAAGGTCCCTACACTTGTATCATCATTAATATACCAACACTGATTATTAGGGGAAAAAAAGTTTGACCGGGTTTGCATCAAAATATGTGATCAAAATTATATTAATAAAAAATGAAAACTATTAACACATATCAAAGAAGTTTATGTAAAAGGTCCCTACATTTCAATATAGGAATTTCAAAATGCTAGTTACTTATTACATTAATATTCATCATTAATATACCAACACTAATTAATTCGGAAAAAAAAAAGTTTGACTGCGATTGCAAGAAAATATGTGATCAGAATCATATCAATACAAAATGGAAATTAATTAACACATATCAAAGATTTAATAAAATCCCTTTAATTTTTCTTTTACGAACATAAAGTCTATTGACGACTACATACATGTATGCGCCTCGATTATATATAACCCTCCCCAAATTCTCTACATTGTTGTTATTATAATCTTTTGCCAATACCGATATCATCAAGTAAACCCTACAATTTGGTGCCGATCATCCATGGCCTCACAGTATGATTTGATCCGCGACTTAACGCCGATGAAGGTCAAATCAAATTGGAGAATACACGTGCGTGCACTCTGTGAGTGGAAGCCTACATATGGTCAATCAAAGGATATAGCATCGATTCAAGCTTTGTTAGTTGACTCTCAGGTACACAACTCTCATATTTAAATTTATGTGTCGCACAAGTCCGTAATATATTATCTCTTAACTTATTCGTATATTTAATAAGTAACTCATATTGTTGTTTTGTAGTGAAGGGTGACAAAATTCAGGCGCATATAAAAAAACCATTAATCCGACACTTCCAAGACAAAATCGTTGAAGGATACACCTATGTGATCCAAAGCTTTGATTTAGCACAAGTGTCAAAAAACTGTGCCTATCGGACCAATACTCATCCATACACAATATCCTTTTGGAGCAACACCTCCATTGAGTCAAAATCTGGAGATGATATCCCTACGGAATGCTTTAACTTTGTGTCATTCACAAATCTACTGAGCAACCCTCCCCAGATTAAATTCCTGATAGGTGAATAAATTATTTTCTATCAATCTATTCACATACTCATTGTTTTGCTTCCAATAAATTTATAGTTGAATATTCTATATTCATTTTGTTACATTGTCATACTGAACATGATTTGATCTTTAATAGATGTCATTGGTGAGATAGCTTCAACAGAAAATATAGATGTTGGAGAAGACAGAAGAATATTGAATGTTGAACTCGAAGATATTGAGTAAGTTAGATTCATAATAGATTTATAGCTCCTCATCTCAAAATTTCTAGGGTCTTCAATATATGTGGTGAAAATGTAACTTTTTCCGATTTCATTTGGTTTAAAAAAGGGTGTTACACCCGTAATTTTTTAAAGAATAAAATAAACTTATACACATGTTAAAATATCCTATTAAAAAATATACTTCTGACCATTTTGAATTAAACCATATTTTGGTGTTGAAAAACAAGAATGAGTGTGACCCTCTGGAGGATTTCCATGGCATTTTTATTTGGAGTTGACAGAGATGTGCTCTATCATTTCAAGTAATAATTTCTTGGTCTCTCATATCTACAGGGAAGGCAGTGCAGTTGCAGATTTTTTAGCTAAACAAGCATCAAGTGGAGTATCTATTGCTTACAATTGTTTTGTATCACTACCTCGTTTTGTAAAGGGACTTTTGATATTAGATCAATTGTCCTTTCCATATGTACGAAAGTAGTTCTATGGCTTTGTACAAGGGTAAGACATAAACACTGCCCTCCTTTTTTCCACATTTTAATAAAATCGGGGATGGGTGAAGCTAGGGAACTATATAGTATGAATTTGGGTAGAGCCCTTGGGTGCATTGTACTATATAGCACTGCCTACCTCAAAAATTTACCTCCTGGGTAGACCCCTTGAGTTTTTTTGAGATAGGTGGAACCTGAAAGTCACCCTTGCCTTCCTGTTGAGTTAAAAAAAAAAAAAGAGTGTGACCCGCTGGAATCCGCATGCGGATGAAGTTGCCACATATTTGGCCGCACAAGGAGAGGGAAAGTCGAGGCCCATTTTTGCATTGAGATACGGAATCGTCAAGCAATATCTCGGTCAGTGAAATTTGGTGATCGCCTACTAAATCCTTTTTTCTTCCACATTATATGATCTTATATGAAGTCGAATAATAAAGCATGGATGTTTGTGTGCAGACAAGTTGTATGTGGAAAATTCAATGTTCAATTCCAGAATCTATTTAGACACTAACATTGCAGCAATCACTGAGTTCAGAGAAAGGTGATTACATGTCCATTTTATGAACTTGCATAAGTTGGAACAAATCATGGCCAATTGACTATATTGATACGATTTATATGTCTCTGAGTGCCAGGTTGGTGGCAACAAATGGCTTGGACGGTCAGTCGAGGGGAGTCAGTCAACTATCTTCACATAGCACCTTATCGGTTCGGGATGAATTCCTCAAGCCGGTGGAAAGGAAAACCCTAGAACTGCATACAAGAGGTTGATATTTGATTCATTTTCTTTTTAGCGTTTCTGCTTTAAAATTTGGCAAACAATACACCACGTCTTAGTTGACATGCTTTGTGTAATAAATTTCTATCTTTTGTAAATATGCAGAAGGTTAATTGTGTCGTGTACGCCACAATTGCTTGCATCATTGCAGATGGTGATTGGTTCTATATTGGATGTGACAAATGCACTAGGAAAGCTATTCGACCTATGTAGTCCAATTCTGACAATGACGATTCATCAATTCAAAAAGCACCAACCAGTTATGCCGGATTTAAGTGTGAACGTTGCAAACTTCATCCTGCTTCAGTTTCTCCAAGGTTTAGTGTTGATAACCATAATAACATTAATTACAACCTTTATTCTAGTGGCAATGGATATCTATGCCAATCTTATTTTGACTCCAACAGGTTCAAAATTCAAGTCCGAGTAATCGACTCTACTGGTTGCGCTAATTTCCTATTGTGGGATAAAGACGTGTATAGATTCATAAATCGGAAAGCTTTGCAGCTACGTGAGAATCAAGCTAGGGTAATGGGGTCAATGTTTACTGCGCAAACTCTTTTAGCCTCCCGTAAACCTGATCACATGTAACACAATTTTTAACTTGATGCAGAATCCTCCGTTTAACCCTAAATCATATCCCATTGAGTTGGATGATATGTTGGAAAAGAAATGCATATTCAAATTACAACTACCACGGGAATCCGGCAGCACAAGCTCTACTCAGGTTTACAAAGTTGCGAAGTTGGCCGATGAACGAGACATTCTGAAGGAGTTCTTCGAGATTTATGGCTGCGACTAGGTTTTGGCAATATATCACTTCATTCATCATTGTCAACTAATTCCGCTATATGTATACCCTTTAACAAAATCAAAATGTGTTATATGCAGGATGAACAATCCGAATTTGCCGTGAAATCGTGGGGCACTAATTCATCATATGCAAAGCTTCTACAGGTATTTGCTTTAAAAGAATCTCTAGGTAATGTAAGAAAACTATTGGCAATTCAAATTTAGCTAATTCATGCATTACTGTACAGGATTTTGAGTCACAAACAGATGACAATACCTTGACTCCGGATGAATTGAAGACCACTGCAAGTAGTCCAGCATCGAAGAAGTTAGCCATGCGCGATGAAGTTCACCCTCCCAGTGTCCAATCTACAAATCTCCGCAAAAGAAAACTTCTAATTGAGGACGATGACGAGTCTGAAAGACAACGCAAGGCCATTAACGTGGGAGAACATGAAGGACCCACGAATCTGTTTGCTATTCCTAAATTATGCATTAAATAATACACATGTCTCATAACCAACCTTGGAATTCCTATACATTTCGACATTGTTATTTATTTTGATATGTGTTTGGATTTCATGGATGTGTTAACAAAAACCATGTATCAATGACACAGATTTCAGATTATGTGTTTTGTTAGTTTCTTAGAAGAACAAAACTTTCTTTCTGTAAGTTATCACTATCTAAATTAAACTTGAAATCAAATTAATTAACATATATAAAAAAACAAAATATTTATGGAACACTCTACCTTATGAACTCAGTCCACTCCTCAAATATTGTAACCAAATTAACCAAAAACAAATTCGAAAATTATACAACACCATAAAACTTTGTATATAAGTCATCTAAATGATGACTTCTTATTTGCATGGTTTCAAAGATAAACAAAAAAAAGAAAAATTCTTTAACTTCCCTACAAATAGAGAGTTTGTGAAATATTTATCTAATTATTATGTTTGGTACGTTGGATACTCTTAATAATGTAGGACAACAAAAGATGGATATTTTTCGCTCATTTGTCCAAACTTTAAAAATTAAAAAGTGATCCTTTTAATACTAAATGTTTCGCCCAGATTCATATTACTACGTCATTAATTGTTTTTTATTCCCGTTGACCATAGGCCAAATCGTATATCATCCCATTAGTGATATAATTATTACAGTGATCCTTCTTGATTTCGAAATAGTTGACATATGATTCCCAAGGATCCGAGCCCCAAAGATCCTATTCAATGTGAATCATAGATATATGATTATGATTTGATTAATCAACATATCTTAAAATCCGGAATTATAAAAAAAAATAAAAAAAGATCCTATTCAATGTGAATCGTAAATATATGATTATGATTTGATTCATCAACATATCTCCTAGCGTCAATCACGTTACGTACTATAATTACGGAAACAATTATAATTATAATATTTACTACAAAGAAATAATCCTTTCCCTTATCATATACATATTACCAAAAAAAGTTTATTAAATTGCTAATGAACGAGGACATACATGTCGCATATGCAAGGATGATTAAGGTCAAGCAGGGACAGTTCACCCCATAACTATAGCAGGCATCTCAAAAATGATGCCATTTTTTATTTTATTATTAATATATTCATTCATAATTTTCAAACATTTAGTGTTCAATTAATCGCTTTTGAATTTTAAAATTTTGGACGATTGAGCGGTAAAAGTCCAAATATTTGATATCATGCCTTTTTAAGACTTCAAGCTTTACCCACACGATGTGCATAAAAAAAATTTCACAAACTCTCCAAATATGTAGCAATGTATCCCAATAGTGTTGCTCAAGAAAGAATGAAGAGGAAGTATCTTTTAGATTCAAAAAGAAAATTGGTACCTCAAATGCCTGATAAAGAACGCGTTGTTGCAGCAAGGTATTATAGGAGATTGGTTTTGGCAAGAAAACGACAGAAGATTTCATCCAACAATAATGATGTTGATCAAACATCAAAATCTCTGTATCCGGGTGCAACAATAAGTGCAGGGGATATGTTCATGAATACAAATCCCTCTTTTTTGATTCCATATCCATATGCTGCAAATAACAATGGCCATTCAAGCAGTTCAACCATACAGACATTCAGAATCTCTCCGATGGGTGACATGACAAACGGTACAATTTACAATCTATCTATTTTGCTAATACAGTTATATTACAATCATTAAGGAATTGACTAATACAAATTTTTCATACCCAACGTTCTTGGAATCAAAATGGATCGATGCAGTTGTACAACCCACCATGCGGATGAGTAGAAAGGGGAAGACTGCAGATGTGACAAAACCAGACCAAAGGAAACAACCATGTCAGAAAACGACCAAACGGTAATGTATTCGAAACATACAAATATAGATAAAATTATTAATCAAAAATATTCAACTACCTAACTACGTCATTATATTTGTCAAATGATGTATTACTTACTTAAAATGAACTTTCATGTCCCACTTCACATGTTTTACCCTCAAACATCCTCAGTGAACCTTGCACTTTGAACATGTCAAGTAGGAGTCAAACAATACCACCTGCAAAGCAAAATAATAAAACCAAGGGTACAAAGAAGAGTAAAAAGTTTGCTAATTCAGGGCCAAAACATAATATATTAATAGCACCAACAGGTATATACAATGTCATTTACACACAAAATGAGTTTAAAATACCTTTATGCTATAATGTTGGTGATTGATAACTTTTTATTTACACATCATTAGAGTATGAAGACCTTGGCGATCCAAACAGCATTTGCGAACATTGTGGTGCTATTATGTGGTACGAAGAAAGATGTAGGGGAGACAGGCAATCAGTGAATCCCAAATTTTCATTGTGTTGTATGAAAGGCAAAGTCCAGTTGCCCCGACTAAAGGAGCCTCCTAAATTCCTAAAAGATTTGTTCCTGAATAATCATGCCAAGAGCAAACTTTTCCTTGATAATATTCGTGAATGCAACATGATGTTTTCTTTCACAAGCATGGGTGGAAAAATTGATAATTCAGTGAATAATGGTCGTGGTCCTTATGTGTTTAAAATGTTTGGACAAAACTACCACAGAATTGGAAGTCTACTCCCAAGCACTGGATCTACACCCAAGTTTTCGCAGCTCTACATTTACGACACCCAGAATGAAATGAACAACCGAATCTCACCCTTTAGGTATGTCCTACACTTCACTCAAAATTATGTTACAACATATTTAACTACTATTATCTGTGTACCAAAAGTCATGAATCATTTGAGTTTTAAAAGAAATTGTTTACATGTTTTATTCAAACGTCATCTGTGTCATATGTGTATTTGATGTTATTATTCACATACTAACAAACTTATCATTGATTTTTGGGTCTGAACACAGTTCAGGATCTTCAAACTCTGTCTCAGAAGCATTGGATCCTACACTGGTGAAAAAGTTAAAAAAGGTTGTAGATGATCATAACCAGTTGGCCAAGACTTTTAGAATGGCCAGAGATATGATCGAGGAAAACAAAGGTGAGAGAATAAGATTGAAACTCATTGGAACTCGGGAGAAAGATGGCAGACAATATAACATGCCAGAAGCTTCAGAAATTGCTGCATTGATAATTGGAGATGGCAGTGTTGAATCTGACTTTCGAGATATTGTCATACAACACAAATCAGGGGAGCCTCAACGCATAAATGAGTTGACCGTCTTATCTGCCACTACAATATCCAATCTTATTTCTGTTTGGAGAGGATGGATACCACCTTGGTATCATCTTGAAGGATAGGCCGAATGTACAAATGGATTCTGACAAGAAGAAGCGAATAAGGTTAAGTATAAGGGAGTGGTTTGCTTAGAGAGTGCAGGAAAGAAATAATGAACTTTCAATCATTTTGCTAGCAAGGAAACTGCTCCAACAATTTGTTGTGGATGGGTATAGCATGGTTGAGTCAGAACGGTTGTATTATAATAAGAATAATCAAGACAACCTCAGGTGTGAAACATACAGAAATATTGTGAAGGCAAATCAAGACGGCACAAATGAGGGGGCACATGTGGGGCAGCGAGTTATATTACCATCATCATTCACAGGTGGCTCTAGATACATGATGCAGAATCCCTTGATGCAATGGCCCTTTGCAAGGCCTATGGACACCCAGATTTATTTCTCACATTTACTTGCAATTCTAAATGGCCAGAAATTACGAGATATTGTCAAAAGTGAGGCCTCAAGCCAGAAGATAGAATGGACATAGTGACTCGGGTATCTAACATGAAACTGGAAATGTTCATTAAAGACCTCAAAGACAATGAAATCTTTGGCAAAGTGCTAGGAGGTACGCAGATAGATGTATATATGTTTTAAAATGTTATTTTTCTTATTCTGCATAACCCATTATCCTAACTAAATTTCATGTTTTGTTGTTAGTTGTACACACAGTTGAATACCAAAAGAGAGGATTACCTCATGTCCATGTGTGTTTGTTTCTACATCCTGATGATAAGACCAAGACAGCGGATGATATTGATAGATTGATAAGTGCGGAGATACCTGACCAGGCAGAAGACCCTGAGTACTATGAATTCATGAAAGAATTCATGATACATGGTCCTTGTGGTGACAACGGACCGAAAAGCCCATGTATGGTAGACAAGAAATGTTCTAAACGATTCCCTAAAAAATTTGCAGAGCAAACCAGCTTTGACTCAAATGGATTTGTGACATACAGGAGGCGAAACAATGGAAGGGTGGTTAAAAAGAACGAAGTTGAGTTAGACAACAGATTTGTAGTCCCCCACAACAAGTATCTTCTGAAAAAATATAAAGCTCACATCAACATTGAATGATGCAATCAGTCCCGATCCATCAAGTACCTATTCAAATACATTAATAAAGGACCCGATCGGACAAGTTTCAAGGTTTGCAAATACGCAGATGATACCAGTTTAAATAAGGATCATGATCCAGTTGATGAAATCAAGAAATTTTATGATTGCAAGTAGTTTATAAATATTCATCATTTCATTATACTTTGAACAATCATTTTATTCTTCTTTGCATGTGATAATCATGTACGTTTCAGATCATGAGTCTCACTATGATTGCAGGTACCTTTCTGCATGCGAGGCAACTTGGAGAATTTTCCAATTCATTCACTACAGAACTCCAGCAGTGGAAAGATTACATTTTCATCTTCCAGATGATCAACTCATAACATACGAGGGGGATGATTCCCTTGAGTACGTTATATCGAAGCCGTCGAGCAACACATCAAAGTTCTTATCATGGATGGAATGTAATCGGGTGTATGATGAAGCAAAGCAACTCACATATGTAGAGTTCCCATCCAAGTTTGTCTGACATCAAGACGTTAGAGAGTGGCATCCCAAAAAAAAAGGTCAATCCGTTGGACGAATAAATCATGTCCCTCCATCTGCCGAAGAAACATATTATTTGCGAATTCTTCTAAATAAAGTCAGGGGACCCACATGTTACGAGGATATTCACACAGTTGAAGGTGTGGTGTATAAATCATACAAGGAAGCTTGCTTCGCTATGGGTTTATTGGAAGATGATAAAGAGTACATTGATGGAATAGTTGAAACAAGTCTTGTAAGAACTCCTGCATATTGCAGAAACCTTTTCGCAATGTTACTGTTAGTCAGTACCTTAACTAAGCCTGAAGCTGTATGGGAATCTACTTGGAAACATCTTTCTGAAGATATTGAAGAGAGACAGAGATTTATTTATAAAAAAGATGGTACGTGTTTTCATTACCTAAATTGACTTCGCACTTGTATTGTTCAAATCCAATTATATATGTATAGTGTTTTACATTTATTTTTAATTGACAGAAAATGACAGAATTACTGATGGTGAAAAGCAAAACCATGCTTAGGCTGAAATTGATCGGATTTTGTGTCGGAATGGTAGCAGCCTTAGGAATTTTGAAACATTGCTATTTCCTGAAGACCATGCTGATGAAGTTGATTACAATTAATCAACACATTCATACATGATGAGCTACAATATGACAGGCGCGAACTGCAAATGGAACATGGGGGCCTATTCAGTAAATTAACGGCTGAGCGAAAATCCGTTTATGAGAGAGTAATGAATGTTGTTTCTGCAGGGAAAGGAGGGTTATTCTTTCTCTATGGATATGGAGCAACTGGGAAAACATATATTTGGAGGATCTTATCAGCTGCCATCCGTGCCAAAGGTGAAATTGTTTTGAGTGTGGCATCAAGTGGGATAGCATCTCTACTTCTAACTGGAGGAAGAACAGCTCACTCGAGGTTTTTAATACCTATAGTGATCAATGAGGATTCTATATGTTCTATCAAACCAAATAGTGATTTGGTAGCTTTATTGAGACAAACAAGTCTTATCATTTGGGACGAAGCACCAATAATTCACAAACACTGCTTTTAAGCATTGGATAAGATCTTAAGAGATGTCCTTAAGACCTCAAATCTCAGGAGTCTAGAACAACCTTTTAATGGTAAGGTTGTGGTGCTAGGAGGAGATTTCTGATAGATACTCCCAGTAATACAGAAGGGATCAAGGCAAGATATTGTTGATGCTGCCATAAAATCTTCTTATTTGTGGGATCACTGTGAAGTTCTAAAGTTGATCATTAACATGAGACTTTAAATGGGGGCTTCAGATGTTAACGTAGAAGAGGTCCGAAAATTTTCTGAATGGATACTAAATGTTGGAGAGGGAAAGATTGCAGAACCCAATGATGGAGTGGCTGATATTGAGATTCCTTCAGATTTGATCATCCATCATTTAGGCGATCCAGTTGCAGCCATTGTCGACTGTCTTTATCCCTCAATTCGGAGCAACATTGGTAATTTTGAGTACCTTCCACAAAGAGCCATCCTTGCGCCAACCCATGATGATGTTGACGCTATAAATGACCACTTGCTATCTTTACTGGATGAAGAAGAAGTTGTTCATCTCAGCTCTGATAGCATTGACAGCTCTGAAGGTGGTTATGATGCAAACGATGGTTTGTACACATCGGATTTTCTCAATAGCATGAAATGCTCAGGGTTGCACAACCATAAGTTAAGGCTTAAAATTGGTGTACCAGTGATGCTTCTAAGAAACATAGATCAGCGAGCTGAATTATGCAATGGTACAAGACTGATTGTTTCAAGGTTGGGAAAACATGTTATTCAAGCAAAGGTCATATCGAGAAGCAATGAAGGTGATGATGTATTCATTCCTCGCTTGAATATAACACCTTCAGATACAAAATATCCTTTCAAAATGAAAAGAAGACAGTTTCCCATTGCAATTTGCTACGCAATGACAATCAACAAGAGTCAGAGCCAATCCCTATCTCAAGTAGGCCTGTACTTGCCACGTTCAGTCTTAAGCCACGGGCAGCTATACGTTGCTATATCTAGAGTAACCTCGCGTCAAGGTTTGAAAGTTCTTATATGTAAAGGTGAAGGTGAGAATACTAATGTTTCGATAAACGTGGTGTATAAAGAGGTTTTGCAGGATCTCTAATTGCATGTAGAGCAATAGACATTCGGATGTTTTACATTCTTTTTAACAAAAAGTTCATGTCAAGTTACATTTTTTAAAGTTTATAACTTCTTCTCCGGAAAATATATATGTTATTTTTTAATATAGTTTAACTATTCCAGGGAATTTTTCATTTGATTATTGTAATCACACCAAAACACTTCCGGAATAACAAAAGATATATAGTCATAGATAAGCCCCACAAAAATTTGAGACAAGGAAAATTCCTATACACATATAAGAACTTTTAGTATTTTATCTCTTCTTTCAATCTGACATTCTTCTTTTATGTAAATTGTTCCGCAATCTATAAATTTAATTCGTATATTTTCATCTGGGAATTCTATTCATTTAGAAGGCACAAATGTAAACGAAGCAAACAAAAACATCTAAAAGGTATTGCCAAATCAAGCGCATAAGATTACCCATTCAATTTTCCAATCACCATTACTAATTATACACATAAAGTTCATTGATGTGCTAAATTCGTCCATGGATTTAACTTAAGATAATACACAAAAACCAAAATCAATGATTAATCAGTGAAGCATCTAATGCAAAAACAAAAAGATTAAATCTGAAAGTGATGAAGAAACTTACATGATTGAGTTTGTTTTTAGCTTCTATGCCACACTACGTACATCTATAAATTCTTGCTGGAATAATTTTGATTAACACCACCAAACTGAGAAACCCAATGATTTTCCCGCTGTTTTGCATCTACGGTGATATTTAAAGTGGAATAAAAGAGAAAAAAATACAGCTTTTTCTTCGAAATGTAGATGAGCTCATGTCTGAAAAATTAGAGAGGAGATGGATAAGAAATGACGTGTTATCTGGAAAACACCTGAAACCTAATTTTTTATAGGTGTATTAGCTTAACTAGACATGCAAAAACCCATTAGCTGCATTAGATCAATGTTCTTTTGTACCTAATTTGGGCTTCGGCCCAATCTTATTTCAAAAGGTGTAAACCAAAACCAAGTATGTAAAAAACGGAAATTTTTAAGTCCTTCTAATTAGTGAATATTAATGGTTACATGTAGTGATAGTTTCCATATCTGTGAGATATGTTTTAAAAATTTTTTTTATTCATTCCCAACCTTTCATTAGTTGCATATATTAAATTATTTTATTCGTTACAATCTATCATTACATTCCTATCCCACTTTTATTTATATGAAATATTCACAAATAATATTTGACCAAGTTAACTATTTCTACCTTATATCCCGTGCATCGCACGGGTGTAACACCTAGTTACAATCATAGAAAAACATTCACTGAACTACCACATATGCAAAGAATTAAGCTTGGACATCAGAGCCTGAAAAACATTAAACGTAACAAATTAAATAATAATGTATATCATTTTAGACATAATTAACTTTCAACCAATCAAAGGAATTATTAAACATAATTAATAGTATACATAATTTACCTTATTAACTTACTCGAAGACAAATGAGAGTGACAATCAGGACTACTTATCTCGGATCCATGGTCATAAAAAATATCGAGGAGGAAGGAGGTCTCATGCACATAGGTGAACAAACAAGTGTGCCTCCTATTAAGCTTATGAAAACTTATGAAATTCCTCCAGTGGAATCCACGAAAACCAGTGCCAGTCAAATCCGAATTCCATCGAAACTCATAATTGCTTCCTCCGAATTGAACAATTACAAACTCTGTTTTCGCCATGGTAATTGATTGCACAAAACCGGTAGGAACCACCTAAAACATTAAAATTTTATACTATCCTATTAAAATCTAAATGACTGAAGACTTTCAGTACATAATTAAGAAGTAACATAACAGATTTCATATTTCAATAATCCCAAATGATAAAACACTTACACTGAAACATTCGAATGAATCATTGTTAACTCTGAAAATGCAACGCAACATAAATGGAGTGAAGGGTGTTGGTAGAACACTTTGAAAACCATCTAAGCCAAAATTTGTGCATGTCATGGTATCATTTCCTATATATTGAAAATAAACACGGCTTCTCCAAGTGATACCAATTTCCGTAGCACATCGCAACAAATTACGCCCAAACAAATTGACCTCTCCATTATCAAATTTTGCCATTAGTACCTCACAAATTCCAATAGCAGTATCAAATTTGATTTTCTTTGGGACGTACCCAACAAAGCATTCACTCAAACGTTTGTTCAGTACCTAAATAGTACAAAAATTGGCCATCAAGAAGGAAATTATTTTGAATAAATAAGCCTAAAAAATGATTGAACCGTAAGTAAAAATTCCTTACAAAACCAAAGGATTCGAAGTCAAGTGGAACAATATACATCAAATGGAAATGCTCTTCCATGATTTATAGATGCTATTAAGGCCAAAAGAAATTTTAAATTTGGAATCCAAGTCTGGAAAATAGAAGCGGTGATATTAATACAAATCACCGTGATAGATCAAGCAATCAAAAAAAAAAAAAATGAACCTTGATACAATATTTTTTAAAATACATATAAATAGAAAGCAATACAAAAACATCATAACTTATTTTCACAACGGCAACAACCAGATTCGATAGAGAAGACCTCCAAAAGAGGATGGAGGAATTTGACCGGAAAAAAGAGGGAGGAAATTCATCAGAAAAAAAGGGAGAAGTTGGAGGAGAAAACAAAGTAAAAAAGAAGATGATGGAATCTCGCCACCTCATGTAATGGTAGTAATTATAATACCATTGAAATTTATTGAATGAAATGATGGTCTAAAGCTGATGTGATGTTGCGTGTTCTATAGAAGTAAAAAATTAATAGAACAAATGTGTTTGATTTTATGTATACTGTATTACCAAAAGATCAACCCCCTTAAGTTATTTACTTTTTTTTTCCGATGAAGTATTATTATTCAGATGAAATGGAATGTTTTAGTTATAATCTTATTAGACAAAAGTGAAGAATATTTAAATTTATTCGACATTAATTTTATATTTTTACTCCCTATTGAAGCCGGACTGGGAATCATGTCTTATATGAGTAAGGGCGTTGAAAAGTATACAAAAAGCTTCTATCAAAATACCAGTCTGATTATAACAGCTCCTGTCAAGCTGATAATTATGTAAATAACATGACAAAGTAAGTATCAACTTGAAATACACAAAGTAGAAGGTATTATGTGTTAAAGAGTGTTGGAAAGTGGGGAAACAGACAGTGTACAAAAATTGGGCCTAATTTGAGTATGTAGTGCATTTTGCATGAGACCTCGAGCTGCATATAAAAACACAATATAAATCATGACGACAAGACGTAGGATGTCGAGTTAAAGTGGCATCGTGAATTACTAAACACACTTAAATAATGAAACATTTGCCGTATTGGTTAAACATATTTGCAAATCATTTTGTCGAAATTAAAACCAGATTTGTTTATATTTCTGTAGCAGAACGATTCAAAGTTGAAGTGAATAAAAAAATACACCTAAATTATAGAACCTGTTTGTTATTCGTATTGTGAATTTACAAATAATTTTCAAAAAAATCAATATACATGCCTTTTTTGAAAGCAGGACACAAATAACCATATTAACCATATATATTAAAGTTGCCAATGTAACACTAATTTTATGCATACTGTACATATGTTATATAAAAACATTCGAAATAAAATGGTCAAGAATTTCCCAGCAATTTATTTGGTTCACCATAGAATCATGAAACAATGGGTAACTGATTGCATCTATGTCTGAAATCTAAGAATATAAAGGCCTATATATATCATTGATAGGTATAGAGTGTAACACAAATAATATACATAATTCAAAAATTTCCATATATCAATGTAAACAACGCGAAGCTAGGACTTATTTTGAAACCACCGAGGTGAATTATTGCAATTTTGAAATTCTGTCCTCCAGAGGAAATTTTATTAAAAATAATGTATCGTAAATTGAATCAAGATTCTTCTATTCATCAAATTGTAAGTATGATTGTTATCTAAATTAAACCTTACAACTCTTAATTTTTTAGTACGAAAGTATCATTCAACTTATGCTTTCCATTTATGCTTATATGATGCTCACTCGACTTCATATTTGGAGTTAGGTTTTTACATTGAATGTATTCAGAAATCATGTAACTGGAAAATAAAAATGATATCAAAATGATACATTACAAAAAAAAACAACAAAATTACATAAAACGAAAGTAAAACAGGGCGGCACAAGCATGACAAAATATTAGGCTAATACATCACCCTTGTGCCAATGATACACATCTAATAATAGCAAAAGCATGACAAAATATTAGCCTAACATGGCACCCATAACTTAAATGCCCACTAAACTACGCCAGAAGTAACCAGTGGCTACCTCGTCCAATGCTTGCATGATTTCTGGCTTCACGTTCAAAGTAAATCTGGCTTTGAGAGGACTATAAATGTAAAATTGATACCGATCAGGGCCGGACACAACAAAGTCTCCCTCGTCTGATGACTTTGCACGAACAAATACAGGACGCTTCCAATGACGTAAAAATGGACCAAGCATCGGTCCAGGTAACGTCGGAGCAGTAAAATCTAGCATCACAGTATGTAAATTACGCCAATGATACACCAAGTTTTCGTCACCATCATTTGTCCATTCCCACACTTGAAACAGGCCGGTCAAACTTATAAATTCTTCATCAACTACACACGGTTTGCCCTTTAAATTCAAAAGCTTGGTATTATTGTAGAAACCATAAGGATAGGTCTTCCAATGTTCATCATCTGGACACTGGATAATGTTAAATGTTTTGGTTAAATAACTGAAAGATATAAGAAGTTCCCTTCTGTTGATTTGATTAACTGGCCAATGGATGAGCTTGTTGATGCACCAATACACTGTGTCACCAACAAAAAGGCCTTCAGGCAGAACAACACGAGAACATAAGGAATAGATGACTTGCCAAGACCCATAAACGACCCCATTGAGGGATTCATATGGCATCCAAGACAAATACTTAGCATGCATTCTTCCATTTGGCAATTGCCTTAAAGCAACAATGCAGTATATGCCAATAGAATCAATATAACCGAAAGTGGCATTCCAATAATGCTCCACAAATGCAGGACAAAATGGTCCAGGAATCATACGTTGTTGTCCGGTCTGAGGATTCAAAATGAGGAGTTTCGATTGCAACCTCATGCACACTAAATAGCAGGTAATTGGAAGAATCTCCTGCACAAACCAAGGGTGTAGAGAAAGAAGATTGGACTTACAACACTCATCACAGGTGTTATCATCTGCGTTGACACCGACAAATTTCAATTTTTGGGGAAAATGAGAGGTGTATAAGTTTTGTTGGCTTATAAATAGCAAGGACCATTTGAAACAGACACCTTACAGAAACGGACACTAAAATCAATGTCTGACCATAAAGCTCTCCAAGACCTCTTAACGTAACGTGCTCTTCCGACAGTTGGAAGATCCACCCTCACCATAATGCTTTTTCATGAGGTCAGTTGGTAGGTTAGTAAAAAAATCAACAGACTCATGCTGAACAGTCGGGTTTGCCATGGGAAAAACTACAATGATTGGAAAATCAAGATGAATGCATCAATAAATGAGATGGTAGATGTGAGTTGGGCTAGAGAATAAAGAACACGTTGGATAGTTACAACTTACAAACTTATAAAAATAATTTGGATTTCAGACTGAGATATGGTAAAGGACACAAATAATGGGGTGGTATTTATAGTATATCGAAAATCATATTATGCAAGTCTTACATGTCCAAACTGAGTAGAGATCATTGATGTCACATTACAAAATTTGCAAGTATCTACATGTAAAATTTCTGGCGGCAACTAAGGATTATTTAATTGTCCCGCCCTTGGGTATGTTGCCCATAGATGTTTGAGGCATGGTAGATAACTGAGTAACAGATACATAGCTGGTAGGTATTGGTCGCCTACTATATGCATAAAAAGAGGAATAAAATACAATATAAAACGTAGTATGAGACATGCAAATGAAAAAGCACGCGGAATTATGATTCTAAAGTATTGGAACCAAGGGTCTTTTAACCTAGATGCAAACAAACCATGATCCCAATTATATTAATAATACATAATATGCAAAATACGTTCCAAAGTTTAACTACATGACAACTGAAACCATGTTCAACGAAGATAAAATTATGCAGAACGTGAAAAATTCATACCATATAGTTTTCGTGACAAAGGCGTATTTGACAATTTGATGGTTACAGTAATCGTAGTGTGCATGATGAAGCAAGTTATCTTTTACTACATATTTATAATGTTATATTAATTTATGCAAAAAAAAGGCAATATTGACAACAATAATCACTTATCTAATTGTAAATGGCTAACCAAATCAGCCCACTACAACATTCTTACACAAGGAATGATCACTTCCATTGAAAGAATATATGTTTCTCGACAGGTAATTCATTACGCAGTCGCCAAATAAAAAAAAGGGATGATGCGTTGCACGATAATCATGAAGGCATACATATATACGTTCCCAATGTGCATGTTCATTTTTGCACGCATCAGAACTATGAACAAAAGATAATGGTCATCCATTGCATGCAACATGATGACATTTTGATTTGTTTTCAAATGACATTAATATGTGAAGAAATGAGTTAAGTAAGAAGAGGCCGGTAAAACTTAACTTACATGGGACTTGTAGTAATCAAGCGAAGGATATAATTTGTCAAAGAAGAGTAATCTTTCATCACTATTCATGTTTTTAATTTGTCAACTACTATTAAAACCAATATAGAACTTGTCGGGAAGAATTTTTAAACTAATTGGAAAGGGTATTTTGATGTTATGCATACATTTTTTGGTCATTTTTGCACTCCATGGAGCCAATTATGCCATTGACTAATGGTCAAGACGTTCAAGCTCTGAGTGGTATTAGTATTTGTCACATAACTCGGGTGTAATTTTGTGTTTGGTCCGATTAGAATATATACTTTAATGTTGTACTACATTAAAACTTTATCGATTTAAACAAAAATATCAATAAAAAATAATTACTTGACTAATCGGTAACTATCCACTAATTCAAAAAATCATTGTTAACCCAAACCATTTAACCATAAAATCAATTAAGAACCGGTTAACACAATACTTTTAATTTCCGACTAATATAATCTTTCCTAGTTACGATATTCTTAATTATACGTGAGGCCCAAAATCCCCAACAACTGAAATTAACATTACGGATTCATATAAAGTACAAAGTTGACTAATGGGTAACTATGAAATAATTCAAAAATCATTGTTAACCCAAATCATCTAACTAGAAAATCAATTAAGACCCAATTAACACCCTACTTTTACTTTCAGACTAATATAATATTCCATAGTTACCATTTTTTAATTATAAGTGAGGCCCAAAATCCCCAACAACTGAATTTAACGTTACGAATTCGTATAAAATACAACAAAAGAATATTGATTGACATACCGGTAACAATGAAATAATTTAAAAAATCATTGTTAACCCGAACTATTTAACCCGTTTACATACAGTTATTTTTCTTTTCTCCTTTTTCATTGGTTTATACTCATTTTTTAAGCATTACAAAAAAAAATTCCTTAAATTATCATTTTTGAATTTAATTATAACAACATAATATATGAAAGTTAATACACCATTTAACCATTAAATCAATCAAGATCAGGTTAACACCATACTTTTAGTTTCCGACTAATATAATCTTCCTAGTTATGATATTCTTATTTATACGGAGGACCAAAATCCCAAACAACTGTAATTAACGTTACGGATTCATATAAAGTACAACAAATCTTCTTTCACATGTAATTGTAAAAGTTTCATCATCTTGAGTTCATTACATTTATAATTAACTACAATATGTAATTGCAGACTTTTGTTATTTTGGATATATTATGTCAGTCCAATCCAGAAAATATATAAAAGAACTTGCTGAAATAGTAATGTCATTTACATAAATTATTGATAAAACTAAACAAACTGTAAATACTGAAAATATAGTTATTTGAAGACTAATTACCTTCATCAAAAAATACTCATTTATTTATAAAGAAAAATATTAGTTGACATCAAGAAATATAAAAAAAAAAAAAACAATACAATAATTGATCATGAAATTAATAAAGCCCTCGAATTGTGCTTCTACGTTGATTCAATCACTATCTTCTCCAGTGCCGGGCCAGTCCATCCTGTATCCTCCTCAAGACTGCTTATCAACGTGGTCCTCTAGGGCATCAACTGCTCTTTTCAAATCATTCAACTGTTTCTTCATGCATTTGAGATCGTATTCTATGCTATTGATGGAGTCAACAATAGTTTGGTTTGATCTCATGATACCATCTTCGAGAGCCTGCATTCGTGTCTGCATCGAGTTGATGATTGCATAAATATTTCCATCCATCTGTGCTTCCGTTGGTGAAGTTTCATTTTCTTTTGTAGATGAAACGTGATGACCTTTAGATGTACTCATTGAGACAACTTTAATATATACTGCGTTTCACGACTTTAAAGATGTTTTATACAAATGAGTTTCAATGATAGAATAGTGTTTATACAATGCAATTTATTCAATGTCGTGGAGTGTTTGCGTGACATTCGAAAATTTTTTTGTTCGATTCAATGTTCGAATTAATTTATATTATTTTTTGCAAGGCATAGTTTTGTTGTTTGAATTATTCCGGTTGGACTTCCAATAGTGTGCAATGTATATGTATATTATATGTATGATTCAATTCCATATACTACACAATATGGAATAACTAATTGAATTAATGGCAGAGTGGGTACCTTATTAAATTAACGGAATTGTAAACCCCTATTTTACATTAATTATTGAAACTTCTGGTCAATCGGATTGGAAAATACCATAAAATTACTTATCATCATGATTCTGCAACTATTATTTATTATTTACTTTTATAATTATTAGTTTTTGACAATCTGTATGATTTTCCAATTTGTTTAGATTATTTTAAAAATTTCATATTAGGGGTGTTGTAAATTTTCAAATTATATATTGAGGTATACATCGTCAAAAATTCCTTTGCAGGGTGTCTCATCACTTAAATGGCATCATATATAAATTTTGGTTAATTTAAGTTTTACAAAAAAAATTTTTCCTGCTGAACCAATTCTTATGGGAGTAGTTTAAATTATCTTATAGGCAGTGGAAGAATTTACAGTAACTTTAAGTCTCTTAAAATAATTAATTAATTCAACTCGATTATTATTCTTAACATTTACATTTTTTCTTTTCTTTTCTACATTTACATTTTCCCTTCTAATTTTTAGTTCATAAAATAAAACGAACGCCTGAATATCTAAACTATCATTGTCTATAAGGAGTTTTGAAGGTTAAAAAAAAATTTATCTAAATTTTCGTGATCATGTGTGTTATGTAGATTATAAAAAATTACTTTTAATTAAGAAGTATATATGTTTTTTGATTTAAAAGTTTATTATTTTTTCTTCTTTTACGAATAGTTGGACAACAATTAAAATGTTGCATGAAATGAAAGGTAGTTTGAAAATAAAACTGATGAAGTGTGGTCAAGCGGGCTTTTTTTTTGGTTTGCGCATTGCAAACGCGAGATCATGTCTTTCTTCTATAAAGCAGGAGTCCAAGTCCTCGAATCCTGCTTAAAGCTGAGGCTAAACGATGGGCATTCATGTACAAGTCTTAAATGAAGGACGGATTCAGTCATATATTCAACCATTTAACCATTGTTTCATATATTTTTTAAGAAAATAAAGTGGAGTTATTCAGTTTAACATTAATTGGGTATCCTACGTCATTTCGTCATGATTATGTTTTGTTTTTTCATCCACGTGGAGGTGTCATGCAAGATGCAGTAACTACTCAATTTAGTCCCCATTTTCCTATATTGTCCGTTCCTCCATTTCCCAACACTGTTTAACGCATAATACCTTCTAATTTCCATTTTCCAAGTTGATACTCAGTTTGAATTTTTTCTTTTTTCGATTTTGCAGATTCGTAAATGTCCAAAAAATATATACACCACTTATTAAGAAAAACTTCGACATTGGAAAATGGTGATAGTTTGTATGGAATTAATTCTGGATGTTTCTTTGTTCCATGAGATTATTTACCAATTAAATACATACTTATAATCATTAATTTGCTGATGGGTTTCGTAATTCATACATTGAATCGATATTCATGAATAGACACTTGGTATATCATTTTTTTTGTATAGATTAGCGTAGTGATTCAAGTAAGACTTTTCCGTTTCAAAGCTAAGGCAATAGGGGTACGTCCTTTAGCCTACTACACATAGTAGGAGAAATGATCAATTAATTAACAACCAGGGAGTGGGAGAAATGGGGTGGCAGTGAAACATCATCACTCACGTGATATTTACAAAGTTTGTTTCCAGTTTTCCCTGTGCAAGCATTACCACGGGGTTGAACTTGTTTTTATAAT